AATCCCCGCGGGAAGAAATTCCCCACAAAGCCCTGTTCATCGGGCCGGACTGGGACGGAGATGGGAAGGATTTTGTCCCCACAGGCCGGGAATGGTCATGAGAAAATCCCCACCAATGGGGACGGGTTGGGGACGGTCATGGGAGGGGGTAACGGGGACGGGGCATGGGGTCCCCACCCCCGACCCGGCCTGCACCCATCTCTATGCCTTCATTGTTTACACTGTTGAATAGATTGATTAAAGATTTATCTGTCGACGATGTTGTTGCACTTGTCGTCAGATCTAATGATGGTTTTCTGGCGACATTGTTGGTCATTTCTGATTTTGTTTTTCAAAGTTTTCATTCAAAAAGTTTATTATTATTTATTTGAATTTTTTAAAAATATTTCAATAATTTAACTCTTTTTTAAATGCGCAATTTTTTTATTAAATATTTAATATTGTGCTACACCAAACACGTACAATACTAAATGTAATCCAATCCAATCCAATCCTATCAATAATTTAAATCTTTTAATTGACTTATAAGCTTGAATTCTATTTGTTGAAATTGCGGCTGCATTTTTACTTAATTTGGTTCATTCCCAACTACCGGAGACGTGACTGTTGGTTCTATGTCCTCATTTTAGTACTATAACTGGGATTGTTATTTCCATAGCAGAAGCAAATAAAACAGCTGTCAAACAGCCACCTTGGGCATGAAAGACGCGGTTCAGAGGCTGCGGGATTCTGCCAAAGATGGAAACGTGGATGCCTTATTTTCAATAATTGAGTGGAATCCAAATGTTTTGGACCTTATTGATGAGAAACAATCTGTGAATACTCCTTTACACACAGCTGTAAGCGTGGGAAAGATCCATTTTGCCAAGGAAATAGTAAACTTAATCTATCATTTGCTTGGGAGCGAGGCCATCTTGGGCGTAGTCCCCTTCATTTTGCTTCGGAGGAGAAGCGCCCGCTGGAAGTGGGGTAGCCCCGGTGATTTGGATTTGCAGAGGACGTACCAGGAACTGGTAACGTGGTTCATAAAATCTGACAGTGAGCTTGTCCGTGTGAAGGCAAAGGGGTTGGTTATTCCTTTTGCACTACGCAGCTGACATAAATAATGATTCCAATTTGGCTAATTTTTTCTATGTTTGCCCTTCATCTATCAGAGATTTGACGGTTAAGAGGTGAAACTGCTGTCCATGTGGCCGCCAGAAACAAGAGTTTTAGAACTTTTAAAGTGTCACTTGGATGGATTCGACACTTCCACAAAGAACAAATGCTAAGGTGGGAGGACAAAGGTGGTAATAATGCCTTGCATATGGCAACATCTACAAATCGACAATTGCATGTATCATTATTTGCTTGCTCCTTTTGAAACTTTGCTGTATTTACTGGCACTTGGCTTCTGTAAGATGAAGGATGAAATTTTTTGGTGGGATAAATTGTAATAATTCATCGATAAGAATCTTTGCCTTCTCATTTTCTTTACATTATAAGTTTATAACTTGTCATTTTCTCCTAAAAAATAAAGGTCGTGAAGCTGTTTGACAGCTTTAGACATTTTCGATCACATGGTTTGGCCGAATCCAGAGGTTGGGAAAATTCTACTTACTTCTAAAGCTAAAAGAGCTTCCCACTCCAACAAAAGTTGGAAGCTATTATCGTGGACTTGTGGTCGAACAAAAGTTGGAAGGGTTTGTCTACCACATATTTTAAAGAGATTGGGTGAGCAAGAATTATATATTACTATCTTCTTTTTTGCATATACACAATTTAATGATTATTAGGAAAAAAGAAGAAGTTAAAATTAACTTTTTGTGCCAAATCATCAATTTTGAACCATAAAATTGTAGTAGATGGATAACTATTGATTAATGTCAGAAATTAAAATAAATATAATATGATTAAATTTACAAAAAGTAATTTAAAAATACTGAATTTAAAAAACAACGAATAAATGATTTCAACTTAGACAAAATACAGAATTTATTAAAGATATGAATAATTATAAAATAGAGTCACAAAATTAAATTAATATAATATAAAATAATAAAAACAACAAACAAATGATTTCAACATACATATATATTACTTATTGTCACTTTAATTTACTGTCAAAATAAAGGTTAACAAAAAATAAGTTTGTTAAAAAAGAATAAAATCTCAAGAATTCTTATTGATTTTTATATGTAAGAGTTAACTTCCAAACACTTGAGCTTCTTTAGGCAATACAAATGTATACTCAATGGTGGACCTCCCCAATGGCCTTATGGAAATAGCCACCCCTGTGAATATGTCAATTTCAACTCTTAAAGACTTTTTTTTTTTTACCCTCTTGCTCTTTAAACATCAATTTTGACCCCTTAAATCCAAATTCTTAGCTATAAATTTTTTTCTTTGGTATCCTTATTAGTTATTTGGCCCCCAAATGTAGTTTCTTGGTTCTGCTCCTATGTATACGTGAATGGTAATCGAAAAATACATGCTCCAATTATTAAGGTTTGACAGCTTTGGACATTTTCTACGATTGCCAAGATTTGATAAATGCAAAAGTAAGGGAAATTCTACTTTGTGCTAAAGCTAAAAGTGCATTCAAACTCAGTTCTCGGCCTAACTTTAAACTAGATACACTATTAGTTGGCACTTTATTCGGTTTTGAAGAATCACTTGTTGACTACTTATGCAAGGAATTACCAATTCTGGAATTAATTATGAAACACATAAGGTTGGTGATCCAATCATAGATGAACTTCCAGTCCACACCATGATACTTCTGTTGGCTTTATTGATTGCTACCGCCACCTACTAAATTAGCATAATTTGACATATGGATCGCTTACCTCAGATGAAACATAGGAAATTTTGATTGACTATAATCATATTTTAGACAGAACCATCCATGTTTATGCATCAACTGATATATAAAGCATATTAATACTAATAATTTAACTGCAGAAACTGAATGCAGCAGCGGACCAGCAGAAAAACGGAAAAACAGAATGGAATTGAAGTTGTGTTTAAGAGGGAATATTAGGTATAGTGTAGAAGAACTTGCTTGTATGTTTGATGGGATTAATCTGGAATGATAAGAGAGAAGGTTTTTGTTTGAGAGGGAATATTAGATGAAGTGGAGAAAAGTTGTCCTGAATGTTTGAAGAGAAGTTCTGTTTGAGAGGGAATATTAGATGAAGTGTAGAAGAGTTGCTCTGTAGGTTTTTGAATCAGGTGAATTTGTAATAGTGACAAGAAAGGGGGTTTACTTTGTAATAATCCAAAGAAAATCAAACGCAGCGTTTTGTTTAATCCTGTATGTTCAAGACGCTGCGTTTCTTCATTGTTATTCACCAACTATAAAAGAGTTGGTCTTCGTCTTCTTCAATAATAGAAACAGTCACACTTATTTTCAACAGATTTTTTTTCAGTTCTTCGTTCAGCTACAGCTTAATCTTTACCATCTTTCATGGACTCTTTGAAGTAAATTAAACTAATTGAACCAGAACTATCCATGTAAATTGATGGACCAAAATAATTGTATCATCAATTATTGAGAGTATCTTTTGCTTTGTAATGGAATCTCCTCTTTCCTGACCCCCTTCTCTCCCTTTCTTCTTAATTTTGTTCCCCAATTGATTAACTTAATTTAATAGAAAGAGTATTATTATATAGCACTTAACTATGAGGGAACCCTTTGTATTAATTTATAAGAACCTGGCCACAATATCTGTTAAAACTAATCGATATATAGAAACAAATTGCGTAGTTATAATAATATAACAAATGCTCTGATTCTCATTAATTTTTGTCTAAATAATTAATTAATTGCAAACCCTAATTACACACTTGTAAGATCTATCATTTTTTAAATTTGTATTAGAATATTATTCTTATTCTGAAATAGACTGTGACATGTGTGGCTCATATGCCCCTTGATAACAATGGCAAATGGTGGCATTGAAGATTGTGGAAGTTGGCTGCAGTGTTGGAAAGTGGATTCGGGAACAATTTAGCCAAAAAGCATATTCGCTACAGCCAATCCAATTTTGCTATAGCGAATCCAGTTACTCCTTTGATTTCATAGTTAAACATTCCCATACTAGCTATCTCCGTGGATATTCCCCAATTGGGTGAACCATATATGTTATGTTCAATTAAATTCCTCACTCAAAATTTTCTCTTGTTTTGTAATTGTTTGTCAAGACACTTAATTGTTTATTGGGCATAATATGAAATTAAAAGTGGTAGAAGAAGCCATCTAATTGGTCTTCGATTGGTATCTATTTACATCAAATTGGGTTAAATTTATAATTGCATAAACCAACTTTTAATTGTGATACATGCATTGGCTTAAGTCAATTTTAATTAATTCTATAAGTTTCCAGTGATTATCTTTTTACTTTTCAATATTCTTTCTTTATGACTTCTGTCCCCTCATTGATCAGCTTTATGAAAAAAACTTATTCTTAATCAATTGTGAGTTGGAAACAAAAAATGGAAAAGAAACTGTTGCCTCTGTAGTATATGGTATTGTTAATTTCTCTAAATTTGGAGAGTAAAAAACTACGTTTTATTATTTATTTTTATTTTTTTAAATTTAAACGTATCATTAATTTTGATTATCAGAATTTTGATTTATCTTTACATTTTTTTGTTTAACTTTTATTCTAATATATTCTTGCTTTCATAAGTTTTCTTAATTTTTCAAATAAAATAATATGATACTTCCATCTAAAATATATTTCCAATTTAAATTTCGTCATCAAATTAATGAGATGCAACTTGTTAATATTTTTTTTGGGTGGAGCAACTTGTTAATATTTTCTTATGCTTTTACACCAGGACATCAGATAGTAGACTTTCTCTTCGAGAGAGAAACTTTGAGTGAGGATTCACAATTTCCAATTTTCCCTATAAGTATATGACAAATGCTTTTTTACATGTTCCTCATTATAGCGCTAAAAATTGCTATTTGACTTTGATAACTGAAGCAAAGTCGTAAATCAGTGCCTTAGGTCATGGAAGAGAAGTTGCAGAAAGCCGTGGAGGAGAGGTTGCAAAGGCTGCAGCGTGCTGCCGCAGAAGGAGATGTGGATGCATTATTTTCAATACTTGCGGAGGATCCTCTTGTTTTGGAGCACTTTGATGAGAAAGCATTTTTTAGTACCCCCTTACACACAGCTGTAAGAGAGGGAAGGATCCAATTTGCAAAGGAAATAGTAAACTTAAAGCCTTCATTTGTTTGTAAGCGAGACCATCTTGGGCGTAGCCCCCTTCAATTGGCTTTGGAAGAAAAGTATCAGGAAATGGAAGGGCATGGTCCCTTTGATTTGGATTTTGAGGGGAAGTACCAGGAACTGGTAACATGGCTCATACAAATTGACAGTGAGCTTGTCCGTGTCAAATCAAGGGGGATGGTTACTCCTTTGCATTATGCAGCTCAACTAAACGATATATCCAATTTGGCTGAATTTTTGTATGTCTGCCCATCATCTATCCAAGATTTGACAGTTAAATGTGAAACTGTCGTCCATGTAGCCATCAAAAAACGGGAGTTGTAAAGCTTTGGAAGTATTGTTAGGATGTCTTCAACACTTCAACAAAGAAGAGGTCCTAAGGTGGGAGGACGAAGAAGGAAACAATGCGTTGCATACTGCAATTTCTGAAAATCAAACTGAGGTAAGCATTCGATATATATATTCTTAACAGCGCGCTCTTTTTGGAATTTTTCTTTTGTTATTTGCACCCGGCTTCTCGAAGGGTTGGAACTTGGATTGATTTATCAATCAAGTGTCTAACTTGTTCTTATCTCCTCATTTATAAAGGCGGTGAAGCTGTTGATAAAATACATGGAAGTAAATACAAAGAACCGTCAAGGTTTGACAGCTTTGGACATCTTCTACAATCACCACGATTCGCTGAATGCAGAAGTTGAGGAAATTCTACTTGGTTCTAAAGCTAAAAGAGCTTCTGAAGTAGCAGCCCATCCTCGGTTTATCTCTAGACTTGAAAAACTACCTGGTGTTGAAAATTCACCTGTCACTTACTATTCTAGGAAATTACCATTGGCAAAATGCATTCGGAAAATTTGTGGGGGTGGTGCCCAGAGCATAAATGAAATACCTCTTGAAGTCCGAAACGTACTACTTGTGGTGGCTATGTTGATTACCACAACCACCTATCAAGCCGCACTCAGCCCCCCCGGAGGATATTGGCAGGATGACGGGAATCTGCCAGCAGCCAACACTGTTATCAATAAAAACACAAACATCACCTCCATCCTCGCTGGTGAAGAGCCATCACAACAACGCGCAGGGCACATGATTCAAGGGTCTTACATGCATCTGTACTTTTTGCTATTTAATTCTGTGGCTTTCTTCGCGTCTGTCTGCTCAATTTTGGTTCTTATAACTGGGTTCCCTTTTTCCAAATTCATTTTCTCATGGACACTTTTGATCGTATTTTCATTCACTTTTGCCGTGATCGAAACCTTTCCGTATCGATATAACACAACGGTAAGCTTCATCTTTTTTAGTTTAATGATTGTAACTTGTAACTTTAAGTGTCGCAATTTATTGCACATACAACTTTTATGTGTTCGAACTAAGGAGGCTTAAACGGTGTGGCCGTGGGAAGAAACTACGCCTGGGTAGATTCGAAAATGAACTCAGGGGTAGTGATATTGGGTGAATTTATATTGTTTGTGCCACTTGTTTATGTCGTACAAGTTATTAGAACCTTTTGCCTTCTTTGAATTTTTCTTAATAAAATTGTTTATAAGGGATCTCAACACAATCGATGAAAATTATGTAAAGCTTTACCAGTTATATTTGAAGCTGTAAACTCCATGATCTGTTCGGAGTGATAAAAGTTAAACCTTTTTTTTTTTTTTTTTTTGGCTGTAACCAAGGTATTCAAGTTAATTTATATATATCTTAACTAATTATTTAGACCCTGAATTAAAAGTAAGATAAACCTCCAGTAATCATCCCTATTAACAACTGAAGTGAAATAAGTTTAAGATCTTTTATATAATGTCTTAAGAGTTCTTATCTAACCACTGGATAAGAAGGACACAGTTCATGATTTATCATGATTTGTGCTGACTTGAGAGCTGTTTCTAGAGGTCAAGATCTTGAGCTCGGTTTAAATATTTGTGATTAGTTTATTGGAAGTTGAGCATTGTTCACTGTTCTTTATATTTGTTACAGTTTTTAAGTTGAATATACATCATCATTAGTGGATATTTATAGCGTACAATGCGCAGGGTTTTTTTTTTTTTTTTTTTTTTTTTTTCCATGCTTCCTAAAACGTTTCATGATATCTTACACTGTAAAATTTATTGTTCCATGGATAAATCAAGTCCATCTAATCATTTCGGTGCCAACGGTGGTTAAATCACACTATCAAACCAGTTTTTATTTTTAATTTTTTATTACTTATATAATACTTTTTAAAATAAAATTGATCAAATATGCATACAAAGCACAAAACTTTGAAATTTGAATAACAAAAATTAGGAAAAAAAAATGTAAAAACTACATTTTTATGGGTGACTTATGGGTTGACTCGTACCCGTACGGACAGATACGAGTCATACATTTCCCTAGCAGTGAAAAAAATAACCGCGGACTTGTACCTATTTCACCCCTTACCTGCAACTACCAAGCCCATACCTGCCTGTGTGCTAGGTCTACTCAAGACCTTGGAAGTAGTTGCATGGCACGTCCTAGGTTTATAGGTTACATTTTTTAAGAACTAAATTTAGATTACTTAAATTCCTGGGAAAATAACAAATTACTTGAAGTTAAATTTAACTTTTGTATAAGGGTTAAAAAGTAATAATATTTATTTAAATTATTTTTTTTAAATAAATTAAAATTACTTAAAAAACGAAAACAAAAATTTTAAACTTTGAAAAAGAAAACGCACGATAGAGCTTTCTTTTTTTAAGGTTTTTTTTTTAATAATTTTTAATTTAATTTGTTTTTCTTAACTTCTATCTCATTGAAAGTTTTGAAAAGTTTGTACCCTAATTGATGATATCTCTTTTATTAATATCGACAAATCATATAGGGTTTATTTGGCTATCTTTGAGGGGTTTGATGTAATTATCCCTTTACATTTAACTTTTTCTTCTTTTAAGTAATTTATAATTTAAAAGATGTCAACATTTTATATGATTGATCCTAAGCTGATTCAACCCAATCTGACGAAAATCATATGAAGCTTTATCAATTACATTTGAAGCCATAAACTCTGCAATATCGCAGTGTCGAGTGGACTTGATTTGGATACAGCTTGAGAGTTCCTGTAAAATTCTAGAGTTTGATTATATCAACTTCAACTTTTAATTTCAAATTGTTGACACAATTATTATTATTATTTTTTATGTATTGGTGTATTGCAATTTAATGATTATTAGAAAAAAAAAAAAAGTTAAAATTTAATTTTTTTTGCCAAATCATCCAATTTGAACCATTATTGTAGTAGAAGTAGATGGATAGCTATTGATTAATGTCAAAAATTAAAACAAATATAATCTGATTAAATTTACAAAAATTAACTTTAAAATACAGAACTTAAAAAACAAAAAATAAATGATTTCAACTTAGACAAAATACGGAACTCATTAAAGATATGAATAATTTATAAAATAGCTTCACAAAATTAAATTAATATAATCTAAAATGATAAAAATAACAAATAAATGATTTCAAGATACATATATATTACTTATTGCCACTTTAATTTATTCTCAAAATAAAGGTTAACAAAAATTAAGTTTGTTAAAAAGGAATAAAATCTCAAGAATATATGTAAGAGTTAACTTCCAAACACTCGAGAGTTTCTTCTTAAGGAAACCGGATATTCTTCACACAAATGTGTACTCGATGTTGGACCTCCCCAATGGCCTAGGGCAAATGGCTAAAGGTAATTTCTTGGTTCAGTTCCTAAACTAATATCTTTTACCTTTGTAATGGATCTGAATTCAATTTCATAGAAATTATGTTAAGCTTTTCCCAATTTTATTTGAAGCTATAAACTCTGCGCGGCGGAGTTATGGTCGGGCACTGTGCAATTAACTTCTGAAAATCAACCTGAGGTAAGCGACCCATATGCCAAATTAGCTTTGCACATTTCATTTTCTTCACAAAATTAGCTTCTAACTTCACTTTAAATAATAAAGGTGGTAATGATCTGATCAATATGTGAAAGTAAATAAAAAGAACAATAAAGGTTTCACAGCTTTAAACATATTCTACAATCCCCTAAATTCGTTGAATCAGAGGATTGGGGAAATTGTACTCGATGCTCAAACTAAAAGAGCATTTGAATTACTCGTTACTTCGCCTACTCTAAACTTGAAAAACGATTAATTGAAACTTTCTTCAGTTATAAAAAAATCATTTGTCTGACGACTTATGTGGGTCGTTTTTACCATTTAATGAAAATATAATGAAGTCTAAAACATGGTACTTGTGGTGGCTATTTGGACTGCGACGGCCACCTACCAAGCTGCACTCAACCCCTAGGAGGATTGGCAAGATGACGGCAAGACGCCAACAAAGAGCGACACCAAATCACTACATGAAGCAGGGCAAGTGATTCAGGCTTCTTTCATTCATTCATTTTTCTTGTCATTCCATTGCTGTGATAGAAACTCGCTGCCGAAGCTTGGAACAACCGAACATGAGACTAATAATTCTCGAACAGATTTTCCAAATTATGGGCCTGAGTTCGGCCCACTATTTTGACATATCTTCCTCGTCCCTCGGCTCACAGTTGATGTGTAAAGTATAAACTTGCACTGCCTTTTATTTCTTCTATAAAACTGTTATGTCAATGCAAAATATTGTATTAAATCTAAGTTTTTTAATATAATAACCATGAGTTCTAGCTCATTATACGTTTAAAATTACCTAACATTTTTGTCATCAACTATTGGAATTTATCTCTCTTTTAATTACTTCTCCTGCTTGTACGAAAAATCTTCTGGATTGAATGATAATTATAATAGATGTCAACTCAATTTGATGGAATTAAATTATATGAAGCTTTACTGAATCATAATTAAGCTTTGAAACTAGAAGATGATCCATATAATTGAATTTATATTCTCTATAACATCAAAATATTACAATGAACTTGGATACATACTAGGAATTTTAACAAGTTGTGAAAAAGTTTTACGTATAACAATAATATATACAATCAATCAATTACTGTTAGGTTAAGTATTAAGAATAGGTCATAGGGATATAAACGTAATATTTCAATTTGATTGTATATATATAGGGAATTTTTTTTCTAGGTGTTAAACCTCATGATCTAATAAAATATATCCTAATAGGTGCATTTTTTTTTTTTCTCTACTGTAAAATTGCTCAATAATTGCAAGATTTTTATTTTTTATTTTGTGTTAATTTCAACCGCTAGATTTTTTGCAAAGCAAATCTAATCAATGAACGTACTTTAAACGGAACTAAGGTTTCAGAAATCAAAACGCTGATAAACTTGGATTAGATTCTTTGAGAATATGTTCATAATAACTTCATATGTTCATAATAACTTCATATGTTCATGTGGTTATATATGCATAAACTCTATTTTCATTTTTCTCTAGAAAACTTCATGGAAATTTAGAAATTGAAAAAAATAAAGCCCAACTAAAGAACATTCTTCTTTTTGTTTTCATTTTTTGTTTTCAAAGTCAGCAACAATATGAATCGGATTTTTTTTTCTTTTGTAAATTTGAAACTTCCATGTAAAACATCTTTAGTATCATTTCCTGTTTGAGTATTCTTATCCACATGAAGAAGCAAAGCACAAACCGGCTTTTCTTACACATCTAATTAATAACATGTTACACTCAAATGAACCAAAAATATGGATTTGCATAGTACAATATTCACCATTGAATAAGAATATGAATGTAGACAACCAATTGTTGAGTGAGTCAAGTGTTTGTACTCACATCTTCCTTTATTATGTCATTCGATTACTAACTGTTAAGTGTATTCACGAAAAAACTTTATCATTCCGCATATATTTTATTCAAATGTGTCCAAATTTATTAATGTAAAAAATTAAATAAACTAAAATGAGTTATTTTTTCAAAAGTCCTCAAATTGATGTGTTGCAAATTGAGACCAAAATCGAAACCCAAATAGTACAATAATCCAAGCAGCAGAAAAAAACAAGTAAAATGAACAATAAGTAAAGCAGAATATAAAGAGAGACATACGGATTTATAGTGGTTCGGTAATCACACAGTTACCTACATCCACTCTTTAGGGCAATAAGGAACCATTTACTATGAGAATAGAGAAACCTTATAGAGATTTACGTCACTCCTTTACACAAGGCAAAATCCGAGTAAAACCCTATGTACAAAACCCGTAAAACCCAGATGTCCTCCTCTCTCATACACGATACAAAATAACCAGAATCAGTGACATATTTATACACAAGAGAAGGCAAAAACGAAAATACAGCTAAGACTACCATCACTGTTTGATTCCATCAACGATCTTCAGGTTTCTAGACATCCAGACTCTAACAAACTTTATCTCTTTTGTAACCAAGAGAAAAAAGGTCGAGAATGAGAACTGATCAAGCAAAACCTAATTTACATAGATTTATTGAAGTATAGAAAGACAGAATTGCCCCTTAGCCTTTAACAAATAATTTGACCACCTAAATTATAAGCTGACTCACGTGGGCATAAGTCAATTGCCACATCACAACAAAATGATTTTTCTGTTTATGTTTTAACTAGATGAAATTCAAATCAATCAAATATAATATAGTCATAAATTAAATTTAATCGATGCATATACATGACAAACTAAAACTAGATGATAGGAACATTTCCAAAGTACCTCTGTCGCTTTTGGAACAAAGAGGAATGCCTTGATTAAATGATAATTAATCACACAGCAATAGATTTCAAATAACTTCGAAGATAATTATTTGAGCTTTGAAATAGAAATTGATCCCTAATCGAAGCTATATACTCGATAATATCAAAAAAATAATCTTATGGACTCAAAATAATTAGACTTTTCTAACCGATCAATACACTTAACTTGAATACATGTCGGAATTTCTGTTAAATTGTCGAGAATCTTTCATACGATGATTGTGTATTTACCAATTAATCATTAGATAAGATATAAATTCGTATAAGTTTTATGATTGGTTGTGTATATACATAGAAAAGTTTTTTATTTTGTGACCCACAGATCTTCAATTTCTCTAGAAAATCTTCATTGAAAGTACTTGAGAAAAATAAGCCCTGGCTAGATACCATACTCGTTTTATTTTCTGTCCTATACGGGTCAACAACAACCCGTAATCGGATTTTTTTTTTTTTTTAATCTTTTGTAAATTTGAAACTTCCATTAGGAGAAAAAAGCCACTGAAGCAAAGCAAAATAAGCACACTTTAAGTACCAAAACATCATTATATACCATATTCACTACTAATAAAAAGTATAAACATTCTACATGTCTGATAGACAAAATAATAATTGTTCGGTGTGTCAAGTGTTTTTACATCTTTCTTTATCCTGACATTCAACATACTAAATCTTTTTTCTCTATTATATTTTGATCACTCAAATATTTTAAACCATAAAGTATATAAATGCATAACATGACAAACCTAAAGCCTAAACTCCAGGAACATTTCCAAAGTACCGAAGAATGCGTTTTAGAACTAAATGAAAATTACAAAGATTTCAACCAATCCGAAGATTTATTTGATGCTTTTAGAAGTAGAAATTAATTGATCCCTCTAATTGAAGCTATATACTCTATCACATCATAAATTTATTTTATGGGCTAAAACAATTAGCTCTTTTTTCGGTTGGATACATGCCAGATTTTCTATAAATTGTGGAATGTCTTCTCATTCAACAATTATATATATAACCAATCAACAGTTAAATTCATAAAATATCTTCATTTTCTTTAGGAAACCTTCATCGATAGAAATTTAGAAAAATAAGCCGTTATAGATAACATTCTTTTTATTTTATTTTTTCTATGAAAGGTAAACACCATAGGAATCCTTTTTTTTTTTTTTTTTTTTTTGGGTTATCTTTTTTAATCTTTATCTTTTGTGAAAGTAAAGCTTCCATAGGGAGAAACAGAGACATGAAGCAAAGCAAATTAAGTACTATTTAAGTACCAAAACATCTTTAGTTTCTTTTCATGTTTGAGTATTTTAATCGACATGAAGAAGCAAAACACAGTTCCTCTTTTCTTCTTTCAAAGCTGTATTGCTTTAAAAAAAACAAAAACAAAAACAAAAACAAAACAAACACAGAGAGAGAGAGGATCTTGTCCGTGTCAAAGCACAAGAATTACTACACTCAGAATTTTCTCTTGTTTTGTGGTTGGTTGTTTGTCAAGACATTATCATTATTGGGTGTTTTTCCAGCGAAATAATGTGAGGTTAAATTGGTAGAAGAAGCCATCAAATGGTCTTCGATTGGTATCTATTTACATCAAATTGGGTTCAAATTATAATTGCATAAGTCAACTTTTAATTGTGATATATGCATTGGCTTAAGTCAGTTTAATTAATTCTTATTAGTTTTGAAGGACATCTTTTTACTTTTAATATTCTCGCCCTGGCCCTCCCTTCTTTTATTTTTTATGTATCACTTCTGTCCCCTAATTGATCAACTTTATGAAAAAATATTCTTAATCAATTGTGAGTGCGTGGCTTGTGTAAGCATAAAAGTTACAGGGAAAAAAATGAAAAAGAAACTGTTGCCTCCGTAGCATATGGTATTGTTATTTCTCTAAATTTGGAGAGTAAAAAACTACGTTTTATTATTTTTAATCAAAAGGTAAATGTATTATTATTTTTATTATCAGAATTTTGATTTTATCGTACATATTTCCAATTATCTTTATTCTAATTTTCCCTATAAATATGACAAAAGCTTTTATATGTTCCCCGTTATAGCCCTACAATTGCTGTTGACTTCTATACCCCAAGCAAAATTGTAAATCAGTGCGTTGGTCATGGATGAGAGGCTGCAGATAGCCGTGGAGGAGAGGTTGCCGATAGCCGGGGAGGAGAGGTGCAAAGGCTGCAGCGTGCTGCCGAAGAAGATGTGGATGCATATTTTCAATACTTGCGGAGGATCCTCTTGTTTTGGAGCGCTTTGATGAGGAAGCATTTTTGAGTACTCCCTTACACACAGCTGTAAGAGAGGGAAAGATCCGATTCGCAAAGGAAATAGTAAACCTAAAGCCTTCATTTGTTGTAAGCGGGACCATCTTGGGCGTGCTCCTTCATTTGGCTTTGGAGGGGAAGCACGGGGAACTGAAAGAGCTTAATCCCCCTCCTTTGGCTTTAGAAGAAAGGTATCAGGAAATGGAAGGGCGTGGTCCCTCCGATTTGGATTTGGAGAAGTATCAAGAATTGGTAACATGGCTGATAAAAATTCACCCAGAGCTTGTTCGGGTGAAAGCAAAGGGATGGTTACTCCTTTGCACTACGAGCTCAAATAGACGATGAATTCAATTTGGCTGATTTTTTGTATGTTTGTCCATCATATTGAAGATTTGACAGTTAAATCTGAAACTGCTGTCCATGGGCTATCAAAAACCGGAGTTTCAAGGCTTTAAAGTCTGTTGGGATGGCTTCGACGCTTCGACAAAGAAGATATCCTAAAGTGGAAGATGAAGAAGGAAACAATGCGTTGCATACTGCAATTTCTGCAAATCAAGCTGAGGTAACTAAGCACTCCATGTACTTTCATTAGACGCGCTTTTTGGCATTTAGTTCGAGTTTCTAACATGTCCTTATCTCCTTGTTATAAAGGTAGTAAAGCTGTTGATTAAATATATGGACGTAAAGGAGTGAACGGTAAAGGTTGACAGCTCTGGACATCTTCTACGATCTCCACATTTGCTGAATCCAGAGGTTTAGCAAATTCTGCTTGGTGCTAAAGCAAAGAGCTTCTAAACTCAATCTTCTCAACTTAAAAACAATAGTTATTTACCGTTTATTCCGTTCTAAAAATTTATTTGTCCGCACTTATGTTGGGACCTAAACCTGTGGAAGTAATTATCAAAAGCACAGGGTTTGGAAACCTAATCATAAATGGACTCCTCTTGAAGTCCAAAACGCGGTACTTGTGGTGGCAATAGATTGCAACGGCCACCTACCAAGCAGCACTCAGCCCCCCAGGAGGAAATTGGCAAGATGAAGGTAGGTGGCAACAAAGAACATTCTGTAATCAAGAACACATCAGCAGTCTCATTATACAACATTTTTCTGAATCCAACATTTTTTTACCGAGGGCGCTCACAGCAGCAGCAGGGCATATGATCAGGGACTCCATCTCATTTCTGTTTCTTGATATATAATACTGTGGCTTTTCTTCTTCAGTTTGCACAATTATTGTTCTCGTAAGTAGATTTCCTTCTTCAAAATCATTGGCTCTCCACAACTTTGATCGTGCTTGCTTATTGTTATGCCGTAATTGAAACCTCTCCATACCCGGTTGGCTCAGGTTTTGGTTTACATTCATTTATTAATAGCTATAATTGGACCGTTGGCATACCTTTTCCCTTTTTTTTATATTTACGAGATTGGATGGTTAAACTATGCGGACGGGGGCAACTTCGTATGGGAGCTTCGAACAACCTAAAATGTGAACTCGATCAGTGATGAATTTCCTTATTTTGTTTGATGTGCTGTACTGTTGTTGTAACTTTTGGTGCTTGGAATTTTCTAAATAAATTCTAATTTGAAGTTTCTTATGTGCAATACCAACCTTTGAATTTCTTTGGTTTTATTGTGAATTATTTCTAAAGGAGCGGGTTAGAAATGTAAGTGGCCCATTAACTACCACTTAGTTATGGGAAGTTACAATCCACTCAATATAATTTGGGATAACCACCTTAATAACCACTTGGGATCATAAGTGACGATTATATAATTAGGGATTAGTTTCCTAATTGTGAGTTTGAGAAACAACCAGAAATCCTAAAGTGAATTGAGTCAATTGAGTCATTTGTAGAATGAATAAAAATGACATGAATTACACTAGGCCCAACAAAGGTATGTAATTAATTATTTCTCATTTTACAGAATAATGATGATGATGATCTGTAAATTTAGTTTTTCATTTGGTATTAGAGCAGGTTTGGTTTTACATGCCTAATTATCAAGATTTTCGTATTCATAATGTGATATTGATCATTAAGATGTTTTGTGGAGAATTGAATGAAAATAACATTTTTTGTTGTTGTTAATGTTTTAAATATCGAATTGCCATGATTTGTTAGTATGTTATGGTTTTTAGATACAACCGAGATTTTGAAAGGATAATTTAGGAGTATATGCATGAAAATCAAAATAATATTTATAAACCCTAACTTTAAATTCTGCATAACTTTCAGTATAAAGCACATTAATTTCGATTTGATATCAGGAATCCTTGTTTCAAGAGGTTTCTAACGATATGTTATTCATCAAATCAGTTCGGATTGCAAAGTTTGTGATGTTTAAAGTTTTGGGACAAATTAAAATATCCTGAAATGCTTGTGTTTAAAGGTTAGGGATGAAACATTGTTATGTTCATGCCCACTCTCACTCTAGGAGTGGATGTTGGTATTCTGGATTATTGTAATGTTATACATGTCATTTGGCTGACATTAATAACTTTATGTGGTGCATTATATATTATTTTATTTCTTAATTGGAAATGCTAATATATATTTAGAAAATTTACAGTTATGCCACTGCTAAACAAGAGTTCATGGATTATGTTCGGGTCCATTTTACATTTCTGCCCAGCCCACTAAAATGGGCTTAAGGAAGTAGAAATGGGATCTATTTTTATTTCTGCCAGCCCACTAAAATGAGCTTTAGGAAGCAGTTTTGGGCTTAGTTTTCTATTTCTGCCCAGCCCACTGAAAATGGGTTTTCAGATTTCAAGCCCAGTTTTCTTCTACTATAGAAAAGTTAAATTGGGTTTTTTTTTTCAGTTTTAAGGCCCAAAATTATTTTACTGAATTTCAGCCACATGAATTAATTAAATTTATTATTTGTAAATTATAAATTGATATAATGATATATGTATGACATTATTATAATTTGCAACTAGAGCATTAATAAATAATGTCCCAACATGGAGATTATTTCTATGTACAATGTTGGAATAAGATAAAATGTGAAATAATAAAATAGTTGGAGGTTTTTTCTTTAGCCATGGCAAGATAAAATTTTCATATTTATATGTAATATTTTAGTCTTTAGTAGTATAATGATTATTATGCATTATAGATTTTGCCTACAGGTAATCTATAAAGTATATAATCAAGATTCACTAAACTTGGACTATAAAGTATACCTATCAAATGTTTAGTGTTATGTTAGCAGACTAGAATGATTATGACTTTTGCCTACAAGTAAATTGAATTTATTTTAGTTTGTAACTGATATTAGCATGAGTTGATATTAGTATAAATAATTTTACATTAATGTATCTTGACATTTATTATTCAATTTTGCAGTTATGTTAGATAACCAATTTCGTCTCCCTTTACTGAATGGGGATAACTATACTGAATAGAAAGAAAAAAAAATCTTTTTGACTTTGGGGTGTATGGATTTGGATTTGGTGCTTTGAGTTTGTGAATCAGATGCATTACGGAATTAAGTACGCCAGCTGAAAAAGTCCATTTGGAAATTGAGAACGCTCGAACCGTTTGAGTCTAATGCTCATTAAAGCAAACATTTCTAAGAGTATTAGAAGTTATATCCTTGAATGCACTAAGGCCATTGTTATTTGATAACAGTGGAGCCCAATTCATAAAAATGGAAAGCAAATAGCGAGCACCCATATGGAAAATCTGAGTTCCATGAAACATCATGGATTAAAGGGAGTGCGAGATCATATCATGCGTATGAGGGATTTAGCAGCACAAGTAAAGGAGTTAGAAATAGACATATCTGAATAATTTCTTGTGACTTTTTCTTACTCTCTCCTAAGGAGTATAGTACCTAAAGGTAACTTACAACACACAACAGTTTAAATGGTCAGCAAATGAATTGTTGGCCATGTGTGTTCAAGAGGAGGAAAGACGAAACGTGAGGGTGTCAAAAGTTCGCACTTCACAACCAGTAGCTCTAAGGGCAAGTCTTTTAAAAATTATAAGGGAGAGTGCCAATGAAGTCATCAGGCATTAAAGATTTCCTAAATGTATTTTTTTTTTTTTTTTTTTTTTGCAAGAATAAAGGCATTTGAAGAAGGATTGCTCAAAGTTCAAGCAGTGACTGGTGAAGAAAGGGATTGACAAGAAAGATACATGTAATCTTCTATCTATGGTATGATGAATCTAATTTATTAGATACTCATTCTAATAACTGGTGGTTGATTCTGGTTCTATTATTCATGTTGCCACCATTTGTAGGATTTCCTGTAGACAGAACTCCCAGGCAAAATGAGAAATACATTTATACTGGAAACAAGACTATCTCAAGTTGAAGCTATAGGAGTTTGATTAGTGCTTGATTTGGACATATGTTAGATTTAAAGAACACTTTTTATGTTCCTACTTTTGCAAAGAACTTAATTTCTATATATAATTAACTTTGAAGGTATGAAGTTATTTTAGTTACTCTAATTTTTGTATTTGCAAAAATGATCTAATTGTAGGTCGTGGTTCTTTATAAAGATTTATTTGTCTTAAATTTAGATCCAATATTTGAAAGTAATTTACTTTCTATTAATCATACTGGCACTAAAAGATTATATTTGAATGAGAAATCTAGAAATCTATGGCACCGATGTTTGAGACATATATCAGTTGAAAGTATAAATGTGGGAAAATGATAGGGTACTTGAGACACTTGATTCAACCGATTTTATCCTTGTAAACTGTATAAAGGGAAAAATGACCAACAACAAAAAAGTGTGCCAGAGATAGAATGAGATCTTAGAAATCATACATACTAATATTTGTGGACCTTTCACACCTTGTCTAAATGGTCAAAGATATTTTATCTCTTTCATTGATGACCATTCAAGATTTATGTATCTCTACCTTTTACATCATAAAGACGAAGCATTAAATGTTTTTAAGATATACAAGACAGAGGTAGAGAAACAAACGAGAAAAATGATCAAAATAGTAAGATCAGATAGAGGTGGAGAATATTACAGTTGAACCATAGAATACGGTCAATCACTTGGTCCGTTTGCATGGTATCTTCAAGAGCAAGGTATTCAAGCACAATATACCATGCTTGGATCACCAGATCAAAATGGCGTTGCTGAAAGAAGGAATCGTACTCTAATGGATATGGTCAAAAGTATGATATGTAACTCTAATTTACCTTCAAATCTATGGAATGAAGCTCTTAAAACAGTTGTATACATTTTGAACAAGGTACCATCTAAAGTAGTTCCTAAAACTCCTTTTGAGTTATGGAAAGGATGGAAACCTAGTTTGAGACACACTCAAGTGTGGGATTATCCAGCTGAAATAAGAATATATAATCCA